TTTGGAGGAGAAGCAGGCGTTGCAACTGGCAGTTATACGGCAGAAGTATTGGGTCACTGAATCAAAGGTAAGATATAAATCATAACATTTCTGTCAACTCAATTAAAATTAAAAYAATTAAAATAATTACCTAGCTAATAAATTTAAAAAAAAAACGTAGATACCTATGTCTTGAACTAAGTGTCCTTTATCTCCTTTGCATATTATTATGCAGAATTTTCAACTGTTTATTAGATCAGATGTTGTGTCCTGGACCGCAAAACTGGTGTCGATAGGCACCCAGTTCAGTTCCTCCGAAGTGTTTTTCTGAGTTTTTWAGCCAAAAACTGACAAAGGTGGCCAGTAAGCCTTTCGGAGGGACTCCTATGTCAACATCAAACAGTGTGGGAGGTCAGCCACCAGAGACATCCAAGGATTCTAAGACCGATTTGTTTGATATTTCCGATAACGAAGAAGCATATTAAAAATTAACATTAATGGTGTATTTTAGTTAAATAAAAATAAAATATTACATTTTACATTTTACTATTTTAATATGAATTACAATTTAGAATAATTAGTGTAACTCAAGTAAGTTGCAAATGTACTATTGCCTATTTMACATCCGTTTCTCTGGTGACTATGATCTATGCACGATTTAAGATAATAAGATTGTTCTATCTTAAATGGTGGGTTCTCATGATAGTTTAGGTTTTCCCCAAAATTTGCTCATTACTTATTCTTTGGTATATACCAAGATTAGGCAAGGGTGGTATTGGTGGTATGCACCAAATAATATTATACATGATAATATTATATATTTCGAGTTAGGTTAGGTTATGTTAGGTGCCTGATTACAAACCACTTAAATTATTTAAAAGTGAAAGACAATGAATAGCTAAATATTTCAAATTTAAATTTAAATTTATATAATATTTTATTTTAAGATTATTTTAACAATATAATAAATTATGAATATTGTTAAAAACAATAGGGTAATATGTAGGCAAACAACTTACCTATTTCAATATATCATGACTTAAATCACCTCATTTTATATTACTATTATTCTGAATCACTATAAAAGGCATTTGTGTAGTGGTTGATCTAYCAATTTACTAGAAGTGATTTACTATCGTATGAGCATAACAAGCTTCAATGAACTCGTCAAATTAATTGGACCAGCAATAGCGAAGGAGAATACACAGTTAAGACTCTATACCTGTGGAAGAAAGATTGAGTGTTAAGATACGGTAAGATAAACCACAAAAATTATTAATTCTCTTTTATTATTTTATTAAAGTTAAAACCGCAAAACTAAGTATATTGAAAAAAATATAATAATATATATAATAATATATATATAATATTATTACAATGTTCATAAGTCATATATTTCCGTATCATCTGAAAAATTAGAAAAATGAGAACGAACTGTATCATTAGAATTTTCTGGCGATGGAGTATTTTGAATATCTTGWAACGTAGGCAAACTGTGTGGTGTGGTAAAACTGGACGTATAATTTTAATTCTGAGATAGTTGTGGTGGTGGCATGATGTTACTCCCTGGATGATATACAGGATAAGACAACGGTCGCTGTAAGACATTGTAGCTACTTGTTGATTGAGAACTTGTCTCAAAACGCTTTGCTAGTGTTATTTGTTTAAAAATGTTARGAATACCAATTTTRGCATCGAGTTTTTCTTCTGCGTTTAATTTCTGGAGTGATGGGACAAGAGATAAAGCAAAATTTGTATCTTCATCAACCGGCTGATTTAATACTTTTATTAATGATTCGTCCAACTCGTCTGGTTTCGATTAGGAATAGGTATCAAAGTGGTAGGGGAATCATTTGGTTCCAGGTTACCTTCTGTTCGCCGATTTTCCATACAAGGAAGTAAAAATAATAATTTTTCAAAATACACATATTTACGCCTCTTGGTTGCAGTTTGTCCTGATTTTGTGTTTTTTTGGGCGTTTAATTCTCTACGAAAACAAGTCCGTAAATTTGCCCATTTTTTTGCACTTCATGACCTGAATAATAATAATGAAAATATAATTATAAGTACAATATATATTGATCAAAAAAATTACATTTGAAAATTTCATTGTGTGTATAAAATATAACAATTTACTC